TACTAGCCAGAGTTAAACCATGACAGGAACTTATATAGGAAAATACCTATCCAATCCATTGGAAATAGCCTGCCATTAAATATTACTGTCTCTAATGCCTTTGTTCTTGTTTGTGTAGGACATTAATGGGAGCCTTGAAATTAAATCTTGGTGGTGCTCCTGAAGGACCTGCTGGGACCGGCAAAACAGAAACAATAAAAGACCTAGCAAAAGCACTAGCTAAGCAGGTACCAAAATACAGACTTCTTTTCTGTAATATGTAGATATTACTTGAAATGCCATTCTTAAGCGAGTACTGCTTGATCTGTACCTATTCTTTAGTCACAGAAATACTTGGTAAGAAGCACACATTTATGACTGTGTCTATTAGCAATCACATGTTATAATCCAACATTAGCAATAATAATCCCTTTCTGTTTAAGATGCTAAGAATTTTATAGTGGACTTCGTGTTAATACTGAGACATGTTCTCTGTGTGTTTTTGTTTGTAGTGTGTGGTCTTTAATTGCTCTGATGGTCTCAATTACAAGGCAATGGGCAAGTTCTTTAAGGGGCTGGCACAATCGGGTGCATGGTCCTGCTTTGACGAGTTCAATAGAATTGAGGTAACATTTTAACTCAGGCAAATAAAATGCTAAAGCTTTAATTTAAGACACAAGAAATTTTAGATTTGGGCATGACAGCATTATTGCTAATCTTCTACTCTTATTTGTGGTATAGCCTCTTTGGTTCCATAATCACTGACACAGAAATAGGTACTTAGCTCCCTGATGTAGGAGCATGTGCCTACCTGTGCTGTGTTGCAGAAATCTTGTGTTCTGGGTTATATTAGCTGAAAATATTGTTCCTGTGCAGTTTCCTCTTTTGTATGTGACACTTATTTGTTGGGAAAGAATTGTCCTTCTCTTCTTCTTGAGAAATGAAGCTACAGCTGTAGGCCTGCATTTTTCTATGTTCAGCACAAGGCAGACAAATCCCAGTGAAGGGATTCCTGTGATGACTAGCTGAGTGTCACTGAGTGACCTGGTTAACTAGTTGTGTAACTACACACATCTAATCACCTCTTTGGTTTTACTCAGGGGTTTTTGTTTCTTTGTTTTGTTTTAGTTTCGTTTCGATTTAGTCACTAATGGCTTTGAATAAATTTTACTACTATTTTCATGGAGTTAAAGTAAATATTAGTAAATGTGGAAATTCCATTAAGATCAATTTTGTATGTTTTAGTATCCTCAATTTCTCCATTTGTCTGCTGTAACTTGTTTTTTAATTAATTCAAGTGTTAGCATTCTCATTTTTCAATACTCTGTTACCTTGATACTTCGGAGCACTGAGGATTGGCCCTAGGCTGCCTTACCCATTCTTTAAATTTACCCTCGATTTTGGGGCATTGAGTGAATCGGGCTTTCTGAGGAGCCTAAATTCTTGATCTGAGGTGAAAAGAAAGTGCTTTTGGAGGCCTCCAGAGGGAGTTCCTGTCCACCCGAGTTAGATGTCTGCATTCACGCAGATGGTACTTCCCTTTGTAGGTTTTTTGAAGCCTCTGTTGATCTCACTACATTGGTAAAGTAGGGAATGATGTCAGTAACTTTCAGAGGATCACTTCAATAGACAGCTATTATTTAGACTCAGTTATCAGACACAGGCTGATTTTCACCTGGAAGAATATAAATACAGCTATCAAAATATATAATCAAAAGCATTTTATGCTGTCTCCAAGACGTTTTCCAATCTGTTCTATCCTTATAAGGTTGAAGTATTATCTGTAGTTGCCCAGCAGATACTTAGCATCCAGCAAGCTATTATTCGCAAACTCAAAACATTCATCTTTGAAGGGACAGAGATCTCACTTAATCCTGCATGTGCTGTGTTTATCACGATGAATCCTGGGTATGCTGGAAGGGCAGAGCTTCCTGATAATCTGAAGGTAAGTCTTCAATCCTGGTTTCTTCTAGAAATTAAACAGAATTTGCAACTTCTGGTCTATTGTAATAAGAAAGGCTGCAATCAAGTAATACACTGATAACCTGTTCACAGATCTGTGAAGTATATTCTGCTGTGCTTTTTGCTAATACTAAGTGTTCAGGATTGTGTAACACGCACAGATGAAAGGTCTCAGTCTAATAATAGTGATAGCAGTTCACAGCTTTATGCTCTAAGTGGAAATTCTCCTGGTTTAAAATGGCTTGGTGATCCAAACCCCAATTTAAATTTATTATAACTTTGCAAGTTGCTGAGGCACTGCAGAGAGACTAATGTGGTCCTAGTCCTTTTCCTAGCTTTGCCACAATTTTTTGCATGACCTTTTACAACACATTTACTGCACCATGTGCTACTTTGTCTATTATGAAAGTGAGATGAATGACACTTCCCTTCTCCTCTGTCAATAGTTCTTTAGGATTAGGACTCTTTCTAAATATTAGTTCCTACAGTGCTTAGCACAGACCTCTTGAATGTCTTGGTAAAATCAGAGCAGAGTAGAACAGAGTAGAATTCTAATGCAATCTCATCGTTCTCAGATGATGCCTAAAAGCATGGAAATGGAATACAGATTATAGTAGTCCATGAATTTATGGAGAGATACTATTCTTACAAAACCAGCACAAGTCGTTACCATGTTCCATAGTCTAAGCTTATATCTTTCTTTTTTTTTCTTACAGGCACTGTTTCGAACAGTTGCCATGATGGTTCCAGATTATGCTTTGATTGGAGAAATTTCCCTTTATTCAATGGGATTTCTGGACTCTCGGAGGTAACGCATGCTGAATTTTCCACCTCAGTAGAGTCTGACATACCTCATTCCTCTGTAAGGCATACATGTGTGTGTGAGGCTGTAAGGCTGACCATGTTCTGTTTCTCCAGACAATACTTTCTGATCTCCTGCTTATCATCAATTCTCATTTTTACACTTCATGTTGACAAGATCATTTGGAAAATGTATCATAATATCAAACAGAATTCCTAAATGGCGCACACATTCCCTGGCATGGCATAATCTACAGTTTTACTTCCTAGGTGTTTTGGGCCATCTTGTCAGCTTGTATGACTGATAATCACTGCAGTTGTTTTGCGTGTATAGGTACTTAAATTATTTTCCTTGCATGGTGAGGTATTTTATTCTACATGTGATATTTTAATATCCACAGCCTTGCCCAGAAAATTGTTGCCACTTACCGTTTGTGCTCTGAGCAGCTGTCATCTCAGCATCACTATGATTATGGAATGCGTGCTGTCAAATCTGTCCTGACAGCAGCAGGAAACTTAAAACTGAGGTACCCTACTGAAAATGAAAGCGTATTGTTACTTCGGGCACTGCTGGATGTTAACTTGGCCAAATTCTTGGCACAGGATGTGCCATTGTTTCAGGTAAGCTATTAGGCTGGTGTGTTTAAATTTTATGATGCCCAGGCCCATTAGAAGAACCTATAGAAACAGGTCATTATCTTAATTTAGAACAGTTTGACCTAGATGTTGCCATATTTGTGTGGAGTCATTTCACTCTACTGATCTGGATGCACTCTTTGGTTCTTTTAGGATTTTTTTGAAAACCAAACTTTCAGTGGTGCCTTTTAAGTTATTCTATAAAGTGTTTTATAAGGTATCTTGCTAAAAGACACCTCGTGCTGTTTCATTCATGGAAACCATTCTGTGAATGTTTGCATTCTGGCTTTGTGCTGCAAAAGAGACATGGACACCTAAATTATGGTTAGTGAGAAATTTGAAGTCAGAATGAAAACACTGAAGTTTCTGTTTCCATGCCGCTTTAATAGAAAATAGATGCTATGTTAAGCTACAGAGAGATCAGTATTAAATACCTAAAAGCTAGGGTACAGGCACACATAGTGTCATTGCTCAGAAATTTCAGAACATATACTCTTCACATATACTCTTCTGTTTAATCACTGAAATTTTTTCAACCACTTTGACATTTGCTGAAATGCTTTTTTGGGGGCAAATTTGCAGGAGGTTACTTTTACAATACTGGTGTGTGTATGAAAAGTGCAGGCACTCGTTTCTGTCTCATGAATACAGAATACTTTCTGGCTACAGTTTGCCTAGAAATTAATTTTGTCCAGCTGAGGACATTTCCTTTTAAGCTCCTGTTATCTGTATGAATATTGGTTTACCCATAGATTTTTTTGTTTGGAAATTTTCCCTGTTTGTAATCTGTGTTTAAATAGTGTTCTATTCTGTCTTTCCTTAACAGGGCATCATATCTGACCTGTTTCCTGGAGTGGTTCTTCCTATGCCAGACTATGACCTGCTTGTCAAGGCACTAACTGAAAATATGAAAAAAATGGATCTTCAACCAGTTCCATGGTTCATTGGAAAAATTATTCAGGTTTAGTTTTATATAATTCTGGAGAGGCAAAGTGTGAGAGCAGAAACATTCTGCGTTCGGTGTCTATGTTACGAATGAGTAGCTTCCATGATTAATGAATTACAAAAACGTATTACAAATGGTGTGTTTTTATTGAGTAAAAAAGAGGGAGTAAAAGCCTGCTTTGCTCATAGTGATTTTTTTAGTCCAACCAGCCTGCGAAGGAGCTAATGTGTGCAGGCACATTGTAGGTCTTATGGTGCGGGACAGAAAATTAAACTGAATCTGTTCCTAGCTGAGGCAGTGTAGCCTAGTGAACAGAACTCTGGACTGGGAGTCAGGCCCTGTTCCCAGTTCTGCTTACAGTCTCCATGAGAATTCCTGAAAGAGGTGACATTTCTCACTCTTGTCTATGCTTGACTTCCATCTCTGTGCTCCCATTGTCTCCCATTTACATTTATTAGTAAGATTTCAAGGAATACTTAACTTTTTTTTTCCTTGTAAGTAGTGCAGTCTAGTGACAGTGGCAGGAGCAAAAATGTACGTCTTGGGGCAGGATCACCAGGGGCCCGTCCAACAGCAGTTCAGATAAATGGCATACGTTCAGGCCTAACTTATGTTGCCTTGCAAACCATGCTTTATCTTCCATTTAAATAGGGATAGTATTAACTGGTTAGGAACTCAAGCTAAGCCAGGAAATACCAGCCTTAACCCAAGGTTAAAAATAAAAATCTCTTTAGGGGTTGTCCTTACAGGTCTATTTGAAGGTGTTCTGTTAGAAGTCTTTGACTTGAGTTCTGGCAAGGCCTTGTGGGGTGACTGAAGAATTTACCACTCTTGCAGTCCAAAGTCAGGCTCTGTGGGACCAGGCATATGACAGACCCTCAGGACTGCAGATGCAATCCTTTGTGTTAGTTCATTGGTAACCACTGATTTCAGTCTAGGCTTTTCCACTGGACTGTGATCTGCAGTGTCTGTTTAGTGCACTCACACCCTTGTACAACGATGCTGTTACAGCTGAGGGCTGACATTTAGCAAGGAGAAAGGGAGAATGTCTGGGGGCAATGACTTCTTAAATTATAGTGGTGACAATTGCCATAATAATATTACTGACTTCTGATTTGGGTTAATGCTTCAGTCAGCCTTAATGGAGTGCAGAGATTTGGCTGATATTTTCTCCTGTTGTGTCTGAGTGCAGGAGAAAGACCTCTAGTTTTATAGACATAATGCTTGCTTTTGTGCTATGTTAAAGAGTCAATCCCTTGTCATGGATACAGATATATGAAATGATGCTGGTGCGCCATGGGTTCATGATTGTTGGAGAACCTTTGAGTGGGAAGACCTGTGCGTACAAAGTGCTAGCTGGAGCCCTTGGTGATTTGTGTGCAGGTAACATTGTTCAGCCACAAACTTCTCATTAAATTAAGTTAATTCTATGAGTAATATTTTTCCTCTGCAGAGATATGTCCAGGTAGTTAACTGTTCTATATTTTGCTTTCTCATCTGTAAAGTTTCTATTCATTGAACTATTTTTATCCGGTGTATTTGTCTGGAAGTATTTTTGTCTACATTTACTGGAATAGTAAAACATACTATTGTTCTTATGCTTTTGTGAATTTTGTTAAGCATTGTTTTTGTGCATAATACTCTTGGAAAAAAAATAGCTTTGATAGGGAGATTGTAAGTAGCTCCCCTAAACATACAAAATCTATTGTGATCTGCTTTTTCATTCTTCCTTTTTTTTTTTTTCCCCCATGTGCTTTTCCACACAGGACTTGGTACTTTCCTTGTACAAGTAACAGAATTTCTTATTTATTGCTACCTACCTGCCAAACATCTAGGGTTTTTTTGCCTTGGGCTGTTGAAGTAAGATCCTCAGGAATCGTGTGCTTCAGTTGTTGGGTGAAACTGACCTATCAAATTCTCAGGCTCATCTATTTGTCTTTTTACACAGCCAAATCCATGGATGAATTTGCTGTTGAATACAAAGTTATTAATCCCAAAGCAATTACTATGGGACAGTTGTATGGCAGTTTTGATCCTGTAAACCATGAGTGGACAGATGGAGTTCTTGCAAATGCCTTCAGGGAACAAGCATCTTCTACCACAGATGATCGGAAGTGGATTATTTTTGATGGCCCAGTGGATGCAGTTTGGATAGAGAACATGAACACTGTGCTGGATGATAATAAAAAGGTAGCCTAATTTTGCCAGTAACCTCATCCTTGAACATGGCTACTGTATTTTAGCAGTAGGAATAGCATTACCATGTTAGTAAAAGGAGGTGTGAGACTCAGGAAAGGCTGATGTACTTAAAAACATTGCTTTTTTCCCCAGTTATGTGAGTAGGTTTAGTAGATGATATGAAGCTCTTACTTCTCCCTAGAAGCCTTGTCTTGCTCTTACTTCACTGAAATGTAGTTGCACACTGAGGCTTTTTTATTGACCCTTTTAGGAAACTGAAATACATAAACTCAGTTCTGTAAAAGAAAACTGAACTTGCTTAAATTACTTAGTGAATAAATTAGCTAAAAAAAAAATGAAGCGCTGCAGGTCTGCTGTGCTTTAACTCAACAGGCAGCTGACCACCACACAGCCGTTCGCCCACTACCCACCCCCCAGTGAATCGAGGAAAAAAGGAAAATTTGTGGGTTGAGATAAAGGCAGTTTAATATGACAGAAAAGGAAGGGAAAATAGTAATAGTAAGAATGGTAATAATGCTAATTGATAATTGAATTTAAATTGAAAGTGGGGAGGTTTAGATTAGATATCAGGAAGAAGTTCTTCCCGCGGAGGGTGGGGAGGCACTGGGACAGGTTGCCCAGAGAACCTGGGGATGCCCCATCCCTGGAAGTGTCCAAGGCCAGACTGGATGAGGCTTGGAGTAACCTGGTCTAGTGGAAGGTGTCCCTGCCCGTGGCAGGGGGGGTGGAACTGGATGATCTTTAAGGTCCCTTCCAACCCAAAGGTTTCTATGTTTCTATGATAAAGGAGTAAACAAAACAAGTGGTGCACAATGCAATGGCTTACCACCCACCTGGCCAGTTCCTCAGCAGCATTCCCGGACAGCTTTCCCCCCAGTTTATACACTGAGCATGCCACCATATGGTATGGAATAGCCCTTTGTCCAGCTGGGGTCAGCTGTCCCGGTTGTGTCCCCTGCTAGCTTCTTGTGCCCCCCCAGCCTCCTCACTGGCAGGGCAGTATGAGAAGCTGAAAATTCACTGCTCAGTAACAACTAAAGCATCAGTGTGTTATCAACATTATTCTCCTCCAAAATCCAAAACACAGCACTATACCACATACTAGGAAGAAAACTAACTCTATCCCAGCCAAAACCAAGACAAGGTCCTAACTGCTTTTCCTTGCAGAGCATTGTTCTCTGTGTCTCTGCAGGACGTTACAGTGATATGTGGAAGAGTTGAGACAGGGTCAGAAAATACCATGTGTTGTGAGAATGGGAATGAGGAGTGACGCTAGGCAGGACGTTCAGTGATTTTATGACAGGCATTGCTTTGACTGCATGATCAGCACTGACACGACTAGATCATGTTTACATGATGTTCTTCTTCTAGCTATGCTTAATGAGTGGTGAAATAATTCAGATGAATGCAAAAATGAGTTTAATCTTTGAGCCAGCAGACTTAGAAGAGGCCTCTCCAGCAACTGTCAGCAGGTAATGCGAAAGAAAGTATTCAAGTCTGAACTGTCCCACCTTGCACATCTGTTCCTGTACCATAGTTTTTTGTTCTTCCCAGGTGTGGTATGATCTATATGGACCCACAACAGTTAGGTTGGAAGCCACTGAAGGATTCCTACATGAAAACACTGCCTCCAAACCTGCAGGAGGAACATCGAGAGCTGGTGCGAGACTTAATTTTTTTACTTTGGTCAGATTTAGAAGATTAACTTTAAGGTGATGTTCACAGTTTGCCCACTTGAAGACAGGCATGCAGAACCAAAATTTTTCAATTGCTTTTGTGATTTAGAGGGTCCCAGATCTCCTAGGGGTTCTTGTAAATTATTTGTAGGGCTGAATATCAAATGTTGCAAGGAAAGTGCCTGAGAGCTGTAGATGCCATGAGTATTATAAATGCAGTGTGGAAAAACTGGAAGACTCAGAATGTTTTGAACTCCTCCTTCTTCTGTCTAAGACATCCAGAGTTTAGCTTGATAAATGCTTATAATACGCTTATCATTAACAGCTTGATCTTCAAAGCCTTAGTCCACTCATGAATCCTTGCTAAATAGTCTTTCATGTACTGAATTGCTTACATGAATGAGAGCTCTTTGTGTTGTAGTATATCTTCAGTGTAGATGCAAGTAAAAGTAGGTGTTGGAGGGAATCAGCTTTTAATTTTATTAAAATTCCCTTTTATTGGGCATTAAAATCTAGTAAAAGAATCAGAATAAGATCTGTCTGCAGTAGGATTGGAGCTGGAAACAACTTTGATTTCTGGGATTTGACAAGACCTCTTTGAGTTTTTGCAAGAAATTGGGACCAAATTAAAAAGAAGTAACAAGACTAGAAGAGTTCTTTATTGATAGTTTTCGTAGTTCATCAAAGCAAAATAATTACTCCTTAACCGGCAGATAGCTTGACCTGTTAGCCTTTTGCCAGGGAGAGGCACTAGGTCATGATTCCTTTCCTGTTTTCCTGCGCGAGTTCGTGGACCAGATACCATCAGCCATAGTCATTATCTACCTGCATGCTGTGACATTCCCACAGGTACCAGTCAGTTCCAGCTTTCTGGAGTTTCTGCTGTGGCATAGGATCTGTGCTGGACCCTCAGTAGGGGCCTGCCCTTTTTTAAGGGAGGGTGAAGCCCTTACCTTTGTTTCTGTTGGAATAATTTTGTTGTTGCCCTAGCAAAGCAGCAGCCTCCCTAGGCTGAGATACTGCTCTGCTGTCTGGCTTAGAAACTGGGTAACAAAGTTCCTGCTGCAATCTTCTCTGTAGTAGAAGCAACTTGTTTTCACCATCAGATAATGATGGTGTGACGTTGTGATCCCTGAAGTACTGCCTCACACAGGTCCTTTCCTGATCTTCCCTCTGCCAGCCTGGAAACTTTCTGATGCCTTGTGTTTTATTGAGAGAGAATTGAGGGACAGTGGGAAATGTGGCAACTCCTGCATTGTTTTAAAGCCATTTCCTTTTCTCCTGGTAGGTCAATGACTTGTTTATGTGGCTAGTCCAACCCTGTCTAGACTTTATTCAACTTCACTGCAGAGCCATTGTACAAACGTCCCCTATACATCTGAGTTACAGCTTGATGAAACTCTATACTTGTCTGCTTGGTAAGTACTCTAAGCCTTATTCTTTTTATTTCAACCTTTCTTTTCTGTTTGTTTGTTTGTTTGTTCCTGCTGTGTCCCATAACAAGATACAGGCTGTCAGATGCAAATAAATATCAAAGGAATTCCTGACTGTCGAGATCATACAACACAAGTCCTTTCTCACTGAGCAGTATGAGTAATAGTTACTCAGCTAGCACACAGAGCTTACACATTTGGACATTGGTGTCATTCATTACAAAACTGAACACGATCTTTTCAGTGTATTCCATATATTCTGACTGCTGTTTGCTAGCATGTGAAGAAAAGAATTAGGACCGTTTGTAAATATTTTTTCTTCTCATTTATATTTATTTGTAAACAGTATTTTACATGGACAAGATCCTCACTCTGTAGGTTGGCTTTGTTCCACTGAAGACCATGCTCTAAGTTTGTCTCAGAATACTTTTGCAAAACTGCATTTTGAATTGGGATTTATGGTTATTACTGGCATTTAACTAAAATTGAGAATATGTGTTTCAGATGAAATAAAGCAATCCGAGGAAGAGGAGAAGGAAAACATGTCTAGTCAGCAGATCATCTTATGGCTGCAAGGGCTTTTCCTTTTTGCTTTGGTTTGGACAGTTGGTGGGGTCATCGATGCAGACAGCAGAAAGAAATTTGATTTGTTTTACCGCAACTTGCTAAAGGGAAGCAATGATGAAAACCCACGCCCTGAAAGGCTGAAGCTTACCAGAAACAATATCTTCCCGGAAAAAGGTGCTTCTTAATAACTGTACTTGCCTGGTCTTTGATGAAGCAGTAAGGAAACTTTTAGGGGAGAATAGAGAGCCTGGCAGATGTTAAGTCTGCAGCAGAGCCACCATCTGCCAAGCCTTGGGCTGCACAGTTGGGTGCTCTTTTCTGGCTCTTTTAACCAGGAGTAGCATATGCCTCATGTTATACTCAAACAATGTAGCTGAATACCACCTAAAATAATTTGGTGATGATAGTGGTAAGGGGAGTGAGCAGGTGATCAGTACTGGAAAGCCTTCATTATCTCAGTGTTGGACATCTCACACTAAAATAACTGAAGTTTACTTTTATTCTTTAACCATTTTTCTCTGTTGTGTATTTCAATTAACAGGGAGTGTTTATGACTTCTATTTTAACAAGCATGGCAGTGGGCAGTGGAACATGTGGACGGAGTACATCACAAAAGAAGAGCAGGTTATCTGCCCAGGGGCTAAGGTTCACAGTGATATCTTTCATTATAGAAAATAATTATTTGACTAAACGTTTTAGAAGTATAAATCAATTACCTGAGCTAGCTCTGATTCTACTATATTAGCTGCTTAATGTTTGATCTGCAACATAACATTAATCTCTATATGCTCTTTGTCATGCTTTTGTCTTAATTCTGGTACCATCAATATTGAAAGTTCAGCACTGCAGGTGAGACTGGAGCCCTGAGGTTGGATGCTGGTTAAAATTTTAGGTTCTGCTATTGTCTCTGTAGTAGCACCAATAGTTGGGAAAATCATAGCAGGAAAAAGCCAAAGCCTGAATTTCTGTTCATTTCTGTTTTCTCTGGTTGATATTATGATATTATAGTGGGAGTCAATCGGAGAAGGCAAGCAAAGAGACTCGGTACTTCTTTGTGTTATGGAGAGCAGTACTGAGGGTCCTGGATCCCCTCCATTTTCAACTAGTGGCACTCACATTTTGCATGACAGCTGTGAACTCAAGGGAAGGCTAGGAAAGCAGAGGTCTGCAAAAAGTACCTGTTCCACACATGAAATTTCAAGATAACTTGAGTGATGTTTGTTCAGCTTTTCATTCCATTGTGTTTGCAACTGTGTTGTCTATTAAGTGCATGAGATGTAATCTTACATTTATTCTGCTGTCTAAAATTTTTTCTTGATACCTAGTGCTCAGCTGCTAATGGTAAGTTGAAGGTGAGGAAGAGAAAAAAAATCCCATAGCACCGTTCCTTTCCCTTTGCACAGCAGGGGAACAGGATTAAGCCATAATTAACCCTGCAGTTCACCCACCAGGCTTTATATAGTGTCTGTGAACCATAATATAGATAATACTAGTCGTGCTATTTACTGCATAAATCCTGAACAAGAAGTGGGGACATACTACCGACCACAACCATGGTATAGCCTAGGTTTTCAGAGAAAAGAGGTTTTTAAAATGCATTTGTGCTACAGGCTTCCTGTAGTTGCTTGCAAATATTCATGTTGATTAAGGTATTAGGTGTTTGATCTTCATATGCTGTTTTACTACCCTGTGTAACAGGTATCTGAGCTGATCATTCCAACAATGGAAACCGCCAGACAAACGTTTTTTCTTAAAACATATGTGGACCATAATGTCCCTTTGCTTTTTGTGGGTCCCACTGGTACTGGAAAATCAACTATAACAAACAATTTTCTACTACAACTTCCAAAGCAAAAATACATCCCAAGCTTCATCAACTTCTCTGCAAGAACCTCTGCTAACCAAACCCAGGATATTATTATGTCCAGGCTGGACAGAAGAAGAAAAGGATTATTTGGACCTCCTTTGGGGAAAAAAGCTATAATATTTGTGGGTAAGACAGGTTTTTTCAGGGTTTTTATATCATTTTAATTCTGGCTTTAGGCAAAGCAAAAGATTTACTGAAACTAGTAATTTCGGATTGCCTCCATGCTCTGGCTTTTTTCAGGCACCCAAAGAAGGATTAGCACTGCCCCCTGCTGAAAGGTTTCTAACTGCTTAAGTGGCCGTTGTCTTCAGAATAGTTGTGTTGCAGCGTGACACGAAATAAAATAAAACAAAATTAGCAACCACACAACGTTAAGCCGTTACCTCTTAAGTATGCCTACCACGTATAATGTCATTTGATTCTGGTTAGTAAGAATAACAGGACACAACCTTTTTCTATCTCTAATTTAGGTTTTTTTTTTCCTTCATAGCTTTGAAAGGAAACTGTAATTCCTAAACACCGAGGGTTTGTTTATTCAGTGCCTTATGTTCTCTGCAGATGACCTCAACATGCCTGCAAAGGAGGTGTATGGAGCCCAGCCACCTATTGAGCTGCTCCGGCAGTGGGTTGATCATGGTCACTGGTACGACAGGAAAGAAACATCCAAGATTAGTATCATCGATGTGCTGCTTGTCTCAGCTATGGGTCCACCTGGAGGAGGCAGGAATGATATCACAGGTAGGAAATGGATTACTATGGCAAGTAGTTACCTAATTGACTGGGGTTAAGAGGCAGGTTCAGTTTTGCTGATGACAAATTCCACATTTATCTGCTACTTGTAAACCTGCAGATACATTCACTGGCTGGGTCATTCCAAATAGAAGTCTGTATGCTCAAGGTCAGATCTGTGCCTTTTTTCAGGGGGAGTTTAATCAACATTAGAAAATTTTTAAAAATTATGATTAAACTATGAATTATGAAAATAATTCTAAAATTAGAGTATTGGAGACTTTATCAATTTTCTATTCTTTGGAAAAGTCAGGGAATAAATCTTCTTGCCAAGTCTTTCTGGCAGTTCTTTTCTGAAATTTTACCTCCTGCTGCTAAGATAGGCTGCCCACATTTACTTACAAGCAGGTTGCCTGCAAGTCCACAATTCCTGTCATATCACCCTCAGAGAGGCTATCTTTTCTAATGACAAAGCTGTCAGTAAAAGCCCTAATGTAACTACACGTATGCTGTTATAAGGCACTTTATCCTACTTTGCTTCATATCAGCACTCTAATCCAGGTAAAACTGTATGTGGTCTGAGGAGGCGTTATTAAAATAATTATTCTGATACAGCTAAACCTGTAAAATGTACTGCTATATAGACTGCATCTTTTAAAATTAAAGCTGATAACAAGATACTTGATATTGTAAAGCTTTACTGTGTTGTGTCACAATCAACAGGGCTAACGTGAGGTGAAATTTAAATTTGGGTAGTAGTGGCCTAGTTGTAATGGAGATTCATGTCTTCCACATTAAACCAGTTAATCTTAAGTGAAGTACTGGTATAAAATATAAACCAGTTTATTTTTCTTTTGCATCACTGCTGGGGCAGAAATCTTCCAGAATCAAGATCATGAAGCTAGAGCCAGATTTTAATGTTGTTTGAGTGAAAGTCAGTTCTACAAGATGCTAGCTGAAAGGTGGAAATACGTTTGCACATTCCTAAATGTTCTTTCTGTGTGTATTACAGGACGCTTCACACGGCACTTGAATATTGTATCTATCCATTCTTTTGATGATGACGTATTGACCACGATTTTTACTGCGGTTGCTGATTGGCACTTCAGCAAAGGCTTTGATCCTGTGTTTCTAAGGTAATGCGATATCCTTCTTCTAAGATTTTTGTCATCTTTTCTCCTGCAATACATCTGCAGAACTTAACACTGTATTTCTTTTCTTTCTAAAGGATGGGAAAGATGATGGTCCAAGCCACAATGGCGATATATAAAATGGCAGTTGATAATTTTCTTCCAACTCCTTCAAAATCCCACTATGTCTTTAATCTACGGGATTTTTCCAGGGTTATTAAAGGAGTGCTGCTCTGTCCACATACACATTTGCAAGTAAGCTGTAGTTCAATTATGTCGCTGTAAGAAAGAGCAATGGAAAAAGTAAATTATTTTTATGATTTCAGTAAATAAACATCTCAAAATACATGAACTGTGATTTCAATAGATATACAAGGTTTAAAATCACGATAGTCCCTGAATACCTTGCTATATGCTTTCTGTCTGTCTCTGAAGGAGACAGCTGTAATTTTTGTTACTATCTTACACCTATTCCAGTTGGGCCCAGAGGTTCAAGGCCCTGTACATCAAGTCAGACTGTCCCTTCTCTTGAACCTGCAAACTAAATATACAAAACAAACACACGTGGGAAAAGAACCAATATCTCTCTTTTACAAATGGCAAGCTCATCAGTGAACAAGACTGAGTAATTTAGCCCCGAGTTTGCCTGTTGTCACAAACTACAAATGAATACTGATAGATGTATATTATTTTCATCCTACTTTTTTTCACCCATTTTCAATAAAATGTCAGGTAAAGGAGTGTTAAAGGTTTTATTTCTGTTGAGGGAATGTTTTTGGTGCAGAAACAACTACAAGCTATTCAGGGAAAATCTTAGCTTTGGGCAGGGCTTCGGTTAGAGCCCATGAGGCGTATCTTTGAAAGATTTATTCTTTATGTTGGAAGGATGGAGAGATTTAATACAGCAAAGGAAAATGCTTTGAGATAAGAGTCCCACTTTGTATTGGCAGGAAGGACAAGATGGGTAACCAGGTGAGGAAGCCAGTTAAGTAAGCATGTGCTGAATGTCTTGGAATTGAAAGATTCCCACTGAGTTTAGTACAAGGTATAGCAGGGTGCAGATGGACATTTCTATCCTTTTGTTTTTAAACAAATCCTGCCTGAGCTGTATTTACCCATTTTCTTGTATTTACGTTGTCAGGATGGAGATAAACTGATCAGACTTTGGATTCATGAGGTTTACAGAGTTTTCTATGATCGCTTAGTTGATGAGGAGGACAGGAAAGTATTCTTTCAGATGGTGCAAGAGACAACATCAAATAGCTTCAAGCAGAGCTTTAATAAGGTATTTTCGGGTAATGTGCGGAGACCAGGAATGAGAGTGATGCATTTTCAGAAATACTGAGATTACATTAGTATTGGACACATTTTTAATTATTTTGATCAGTGCATTTAAAAATATGGATGTCGGGATGCATTTGAAAGTATGGATGGTCTTCTGCTCAGTGTTGAGTATTATAGTCTAAGTTAACAGAAATTACTTCATATCAGAATGATTCATAACTTCGAAAGGATTCTGTGTTGGTAGAGAGGACTATCTGGAATAAATGTCTTACACAATATTATCTGTGCTTTTGCTTCTGTTAATATTTGGATGAACCAGTGTTCGTAGTGGGTTCTTTTCTGAGAAGTCTTTTGGGAACTTTTCCTATACTTGACAGCAAAATCTCTCTGTGAAGTATGCATTTGTGGAAACTTGCATGTTAACCTACAGCATATTCCCCATTTAGGTGTTTTTTGGTGATTTTTTTTTTTTTTTTAGCTAATAACTAGAATAGCTGGAAAGCAGTGGTTCCCACAGTGTTACTACTTTGTAGATAAGAATTATTATGACTTTAAGGGAAATAATTCTTTAATAGTTTGAATTATCTGTTGATTCTTGTCTTTTCTCTAGGTACTGAGTCATCTCTCACCTACTGGAAAAATCTCTGACGATAGTATTCGCAACCTGTTCTTTGGAGACTATTTGAAGCCGGACAGTAATGTAAAAGTGTATGATGAAATCACAGACTTAAAGCAACTGACAACTGTGATGGAACACTACCTTGAGGAATACAACGATATCAGCAAAGCACCAATGTCCTTAGTCATGTTCAAGTTTGCTGTTGAGCATATCTCAAGGATATGCAGGGTATTGAAACAGGATAACGGACATCTGTTATTGGTGGGGGTTGGCGGGAGTGGTCGACAGAGTGCTACCAAGCTGGCCACCTACATGAATACCTTTGAACTCTTCCAAGTTGAAATGATGAAGTCCTATGGAATCAGTGAATGGAAAGAAGATGTTAAACGTGTCATGCTCAAAGCAGGTGTTGATAACAAGAACATAACCTTTTTGTTGTGTGATAATCAAATAAAGGATGAAGCATTCTTAGAAGATATCAACATGCTTTTAAATACTGGTGATGTGCCCAATATCTTTGCAACAGATGAGAAAGCTGAAATTCTTGAGAAAATGCAAAATGCAGCAAGGATGGGGAACAGGAAAATTGAAGACACTCCCCTTTCTATGTACAATTTCTTTATTGAAAGGGTGAAGAAAAATTTGCATATTGTCTTAGGTCTGTATGCAGTGTGTTGTTTCTTAGAATGTTTTTCTTAGTCTTAGGTTTTTTCTGCTTCCTTACTACAAACAAACTTAGGTAATGATTATGATTTAATTTTTGTTTTCTAGCCATGACGCCTATTGCAGATGCATTTCGGAATCGATTACGGATGTTCCCTTCACTGATAAACTGCTGCACCATTGATTGGTTCCAAACCTGGCCTTCAGATGCTTTAGAAATGGTTGCTAACAAGTTTTTAGAGGATGTTGAACTTGAAGATGACATTAGAAAAGAGTGAGTATCTGTCAAGAAACATATGAAGCAAATATTCATTTCCTTCCCCCTTACACCCCCAACATACTTGATCGGGAAACTGTCCTTATAAATGGACAAAACTAAGCCAACTCTGGGATTTCAGTGCAAGTCAAAGATACCTAGATTATAGAATGGTTTGGGTTGGAAGGGGCCTTAAAGCCCATCCAGTTCCAACCCCCTGCCATGGGCAGGGACACCTTCCACTAGACCAGGTTGCTCCAAGCCTCATCCAGCCTGGCCTTGGACACTCCCAGGGATGGGGCATCCACAGCTTCTCTGGGCAACCTGTCCCAGTGCCTCCCCACGCTCTCTGGGAAGAATTTCTTCCTGATATCTAATCTAAACCTCCCTGATTTCAATTTAAACCCATTACCCCTTGTCCTGTCACTACAGGCCCTTGTAAAAAGTCCCCCCACAGCTTCCTTGTAGCCCCTTCAGGTACTGGAAGGTGCTATAAGGTCTGCCCGGAGCCTTCCCCAGGCTGAACAAGCCCAATTCTTGCAGCCTTTCATCATAGCAGAGGTGCTCCAGCCCTCTGATCATCTTTGTGGCCTCCTCCGGACTCGCTCCAACCTGTCTGTATCCTTCCCATGCAGTGGCTTCCACAGCTGGAAGATACATGTATCTCATGCTTCTGAAAATTAGGGCACTCTTTGTGAGGAAACTAGAATATTTCTTATAATGCAGAAAAAACAATAAATGGATTCTGCCCTCACTAACACTAACATAGTTTCATAATTAACATAAAGACAGATTGTATTTTCATAGTAATGTGGAAAATTTTTCTCTAGGGTTGTGTCAATGTGCAAGTATTTCCAAGAAAGTGTGAGAGAGCTCTCCGTCAGCTATTACACTACACTGCGAAGACACAACTATGTGACACCAAGTTCATACCTAGAATTGATTCTTACCTTTAAGACTCTGCTGAACATCAAAAGGCAAGAAGTTGACGTGATGAGAACTCGTTATCTAATGGGACTTCAAAAACTTGACTTTGCATCTTCACAAGTAAGCTTCAGATGAAAAAATTGAATCTGTGCCATATGCATACTTTAGAATGGGGCCTGTATAAGCCCATTAAAACTTACAAAAATGATACTTAATAAATTCCCTTTTCACTATATTCATGATGCTATTGATAATTTTCTATAGAAAGCCAGCAAGAAAAGCTAGATTACTGCCTAGTCATTTTAAGAAACTGTGGTATGTAAGTTCAGGTTATAGCACTTCATAGACAGCTAAATTAAATTGAAGTTACGCGTTAACTGTTGAAGGAATAAACCTTACAAGTGTCATTATTTTCTCAAAGCCTCATATGGAGTATCCATGCCTCAGCATCTTAGTACCTATTACCTGTTACAAAACAGGGGAGAAGTTGAAGAATGTTGTAAGATAATAACATTAATTGCTGAAAAGGATTTTCCCAGTAGGAAATTGACCAGCTTCCAGACAAATAACCCATGTGATCCAGGGGTTGATCTTTCCAAGATGGAACATCCAGTTTGCGGCCGCTACTGTCACTAATTCTGTGTTTCCTTCCAAGTTTCTTTCGGATTTTGTTTTCCACTAGTGCAATAAAGGATTATTTGGGGTTCCATAAACTGAAACTGACTGTGAAGAAAAAGATACAGTTCATTGAGTTTAATTCTCATTATTGAATTTAGGTGGATCATAAAAAAACCAAGCATAGTGCACGGGTGACAAAAAAAATCCTTGTTAAAAAACTATTCAGTTAAAAAATAAAGCACCTCTTAGTAAAAACAGGCTAGAGAACTATTTTAATAATTATTTAGTCCAAATATTCCTTTTTAGATTATATTAATGTAGTGTCTTCTGATCTTTCTTTCTAAGACATCAAGATGTGAAATGCATGAAATGTTTACAGTTTCTTCTCCAATCCCTCTTATGTTTATCAGGTTGCAGAGATGCAGAAAGAACTGACTGCCCTTCAGCCTGAACTGATTCAAACTTCTGCAGAAACGGACAAAATGATGATCCAGATTGAAAAGGAAACAACTGAAGTAGATGCAAAGAAGGAACTAGTGTCAGCAGATGAAAAAGAGGCGAATGAAGCAGCAGCTGTTGCTAAAGCTATTAAGGTGGGTACAAGGGGTTGTTCCTGGAGCACGGTGGGTTCCAAGTCTTTCCCAGCAAATGGGTGTTGTGATGATGTGTTAATGGTGTGATTCAAGCTCTTACGGTAACAAAGTTAACAGAGATGATGAATGCAATGTTCCTAACATAAACAAGGTAAATTTTGGCTGTTTGGAGTACGCCTATCTCACAGTACCACATAGCTTCCCTTTCTAGTTCACATCTCAAAAGCTGTGTAGCTCTTAATTCTGTACTAATGTATTCTCGATCTCAATAGTTTGAGCAATGAGTTTATACTGTTTCCAGGCCCAAAGACAGTTAGTTTGGAGTTAGCTGAGGTAACTTGGCACAGTGCTGCACAGAGCTCTATTAGGCATAACCTAAGAGATATTGCCATAGCCAGTCTGTAGCACAGGATTTCCTGGGGAAGTTGCAGGATTCCTCAGTATCTTTTTATAACTAGTTGGAAATGTCAGTGATTGATAAGTGTATTGGGATTTTGTGGCAAGGTTCTGGTAGCAAGGGGGCTGCAGGGGTGATTTTCGTGAGATCTGCTAGCAGCTTCCCTGGCTCAAAGTCAGACCTGCATCTGGCCATGGCTGAGCCAATTAGCAACACTTGGTAGCACCTCTGCGATTAACATATTTAGAGGAGGTGTCTGGAGCAGAGGGTTCCCCTGCAGCCCGTGGAGAGAGGGCAGGCTGTGCCCTGCGGCCATGGAGGGTCACGGGGGAGCAGAGACCCCCTGCAGCCTGGGGAGGACCCCACGCCAGAGCAGGGGGATGCGCCCAAAGAAGCCCCGTGACTCCCTGCACAGCCCGCGCTGGAGCAGGCTGCTTCTGAAGGACTGCACCCTGTGGAAGGGACCTATGCTGGAGCAGTTAGTGAAGAAAATTGCAGCCTGTGGGAAGGCTTCATGCCAGGGAAGCTCATGGAGTACCAGCTCCCATGAGAGGGACCCCATGCTGGAGCTGGGGAAGAGGGTGAGGAGTCCCCCCCCTGAGGAGGAAGGAGCGGCGGAGAACATGTGTGATGAACTGACCACAACCCCCATTCCCCCATTCCCCATCCTCCTGCGCTGCTGGGGGGAGGAGATGGAGAAATGGGGAGCAGAACTGAGCCTGGGAAGAAGGGAGGGGTGAGGGGAAGGTGATTTTAAGATTTGGTTTTATTTCTCATTATCCTACTCTGATTTGATTGGTAACTAATTAACTGGTTGTTTTTCCCCAAGTCGAGTCTCTTTTGCCCATGACCATAACTGGTGAGTGATCCCTCCCTGCCCTTGTCTCGGCCCACCAGCCTTTCCTTGTATTTCCTCCACACCATCCCACCGCGGGGACGAGTGAGGGAGTGGTGCTGAGTTGCTGGCTGGGCCTAAACTATGACAATAAAATAGGTAATTACAGAGATCTGAGTACCTGATAAAAGAATTTAAGCTACACAGAATGCATTTGTACCTGATCAGCACTGCAAGATTTAACTAAGAACAGCTGATTCTAACTGGTATTTTAATTCTCCTTGTCAGACCAGAGAGACTTTGATCTTGAAAGCTTGTCTGGCTTTTCCAGTGATCAGTTCAGCTCATGGAAGTTACTAATTTCTCTGCAAACCTTCCCTCCTTAAACTGTGCAGACAAATTATGAAAGTGGGTTTACTAGTAAGCAGAAGAGGTTCTCTGAGGTTGAACAGGAGCGAGGAATTGGGTTGCAAGCTTGGTATTGCATGAAGGTTTACAGGTTTCTGCCCAATGTCTTAACAGGACGAATGTGAAGGAGACCTTGCTGAGGCCATGCCAGCTTTGGAGGCAGCACTTGCAGCTCTTGATACCCTGAATCCTTCAGATATCTCTCTTGTGAAATCCATGCAGAATCCACCTGGTCCTGTTAAGCTTGTCATGGAGAGTATCTGTGTCATGAAGGGAACTAAAGCGGAGAGAAAGCCTGATCCACATGGCAGTGGTAAAGATGGAGTATTTGTTATCCCTGCCCTAGGAATACTTGGGGTACTGCTGTGTTGTACTAGTGAAGTGCTGGTGTGAATGCAGTCACGTGCACTGAAAGTGCATTTTTCTAGCAGTGACTTCTAGCTACACTGAATAGCTAAGAGGCATTTTTGCCATTGTAACAAACTGCACTTGCTTGACGCTGTTGTACGAGCCCTGTAAATATGATCCCAGTATGCAGCACAAAGTTTTCACTTCAACTTGCTTTGACCCAATCTTGAGATTTGCATTGCCTTGAGGAACTCTGGAAGCTGGAGATGTGCTCTGCACCATTCACCTGTATTTTCCCCTCTAATCCCTGCTACCAAACTCCATCAGTTATACTGGGAGACAGAATTCTAGCTATATCCCTGCAGTAGGTGCTTACTCTAACGAGCTCTTTCCGTGTGGTTTATGTTGGTACTGTGGGATTGCACTGGATTTGCGAGGTAGGAAAGAAAAAAGACACTTTTCTTTCACTTTTCTTCTACCTTATGTGCCCCCACAGTTCAACCCTTCATAATTGAAAATAAGAATTCTATAAATATCTTCCATCAGAAACTGCCTACTTAGATTAGGAAGGAATGCTTTCACATAGTTACCTATTTATCTAGTAAACTATGCTAAGAAAGACTCTGTAGTAATTTGTTTCCCTTATTTTGCTTGGTAGATTTGGAATTAATAATTATGTAATTAAATGTGACGTGGGTTAGTGATGGTGAAGTTCCTGTCTGAATTTCTCTGGGTAATGATTTTCCCAAGCTAGTTAACAGTGATTTCACAGTAAAATTCTGTTGCAAATCCTTGATGTTAATTCTTCGTATTATGTTTCAAGTATTTTTTCAGTTGGAACTGATTTTAGTTTTATTTGCAATGTAGGTAAAATGATAGAAGACTACTGGGGGCCATCTAGAAAAATTCTTGGAGATCTGAAATTCCTTGAGAGCTTGAAGACGTATGACAAGGATAATATTCCTCCTGCTATAATGAAGAGAATTAGGGAGAGGTTTATTGATCATCCACATTTTCAGCCAGCTGTCATAAAAAGTGTCTCGTCTGCCTGCGAAGGACTGTGCAAATGGGTGCGAGCCATGGAGGTATATGACCGTGTTGCGAAAGTGGTTGCCCCAAAGCGCGAACGTTTGAGAGCTGCGGAAGGAGTCCTCGACATTCAAATGCAGAAGCTAAAAACAAAACAAGCAGAACTTAAGGAGGTAGTTGATCGTCTCCAAGCTTTGAATGATGAGTTTGAAAACATGAATGACCGGAAGAGAGAATTAGAAAATAATATTGAACTCTGTTCACAAAAGCTCGTGAGAGCTGAACAGCTAATTAGTGGTCTTGGTGGAGAGAAAGATAGGTGGACAGAAGCTGCACGATTCTTAAGAACCCGGTACATAGACCTTATAGGAGATGTGTTGTTATCATCAGGAACTGTGGCTTATCTGGGAGCCTTTCCTGTTGATTACCGTCTCAAATGTCAAAAGCAATGGCAGGTTCTCTGCAATGAAAAGAACATACCATGCTCCAGTGATTTTACCTTAAGTAATACATTAGGCGATCCAGTCAAAATCCGTGCGTGGCAGATTGCTGGATTGCCAGTTGATTCTTTTTCTATTGACAATGGCATAATTGTTTCTAACTCAAGAAAATGGGCTTTAATGATAGACCCTCAGAGGCAAGCTAACAAGTGGGTAAAAAATATGGAGAAAGCTAACAGGCTGTCAGTTATCAAATTAACTGACACACATTATGTGAGGACATTAGAAAATGCTATCCAGCTTGGAACACCAGTCTTGCTAGAAAATATTGGTGAAGAACTTGATGCTTTCATAGAACCCATTTTATTAAAGCTAACATTCAAACAACAAGGAGTAGAATACATGAAATTAGGGGAAAATATAATTGAATATTCAAGAGATTTCAGGTTTTACATAACAACCTGCTTAAGAAATCCTCATTATCTTCCTGAAGTGGCTGTGAAAGTTTGTCTACTCAACTTCATGATTACACCTTTGGGTCTTCAGGATCAACTTCTTGGAATTGTAGCTGCAGAGGAAAAGCCTGAACTAGAAGAAAAGAAAAATAAACTGATTATAGAAAGTGCAGCCAACAAGAAGCAGCTAAAGGAAATAGAAGATAAAATCCTAGAGATCCTTTCCAATTCAGAAGGAAACATCTTAGAAGATGAAACGGCAATTAATATTTTGTCTTCATCCAAAGAGTTATCTGAAGAAATCTCTGAAAAACAAAAAATTGCTTCTGTAACTGAGGTGCAAATAGATTCTACACGAATGAGGTATAAGCCAGTTGCTAGTCATTCAGCTGTTGTCTTCTTCTGCATCTCTGATCTAGCAAACATTGAACCTATGTACCACTATTCATTGGTTTGGTTCATTAACTTGTACATCCAATCAATTGCTAAAAGCAAAAAGAGTGAAAATCTAGAAAAGAGAATTAAACACATAACCGAGCATTTCACCATAAGCGTCTATAACAATGTCTGTCGTTCGTTGTTTGAGAAAGATAAGCTGTTATTCTCCTTCTTGCTGACAGCAAGCATTATGAAGGGAAAAGACCAAATAGATGATGAGGTATGGCGTTTCCTACTGACAGGAGGTGTTGCTCTTGATAATCCTTACCCCAACCCAGCTCCAGACTGGCTATCTGACAAATCATGGGCTGAGCTTGTACGTGCATCTAGTCTGACAAACCTCCATGGGCTAATGGAACATGTAAGAGAGAATTTTTCAAAGTGGAAACTCGTATATGACTCTGCAAGACCCCATGAAGAAGCCTTCCCAGATGCGTGGAGCACACTGATGGGGTTAGATCGCATGGTTATTCTCAGATGTTTGAGACCTGACAAAATTATTCCAGCAGTGCAGGAGTTCATTGTGGAAAATATGGGAAGAACATTTATTGAACCACCAACTTTTGATCTTGGAAGAAGTTACAGTGATTCAAATTGTTGTGCCCCTTTGATTTTTGTATTATCACCAGGTGCTGATCCTATGGCAGGTGAGACTCATACTTAAAAATCTTTTTCTGTCTGGTTAAATGTCAGTGTGACTAAACTGATAATAGTGTAGACCCCTTCATTTGATCTTTAAAGTGTCTTTAAACTACAATACAGCAATGATGGAATATCACACATTTGCACCTGTCCATACCTATACAATGACAGCAAAATTGCTAGAGGGTGGAATGAATGTAGTGATGATTAAATGTCTAGGTCTCTGAGCAGCAATTTAGGCATCTAGCAGCTTGTAACGTCCAGAGCAGTTTATAATTTATGCTTGCATTACAATTCTTTCAGTGAGTGCTTGGGACTTGCCTCAGTCTTTGTTACAACCCCTCCTCCAGGAAGTTTCCTCCCTCTCAGTCACTAATTAAATGGTGTATATGACCACACTTGAAAACACATCTGTTGCATGTCCTTTAAAAAATAACCACCCAGATTATTTTTAAACCTGGTTTTCTGCCAAAAGTATTGTAATACGGGGCCATACCGTAAGGATGTATTTCCAGGAGGTACTGGTTTTGATGGCAAAGCTGCAGGGTTATGTTTAACCAGATCTAAAGATCCAATTTACAGTTCAACCACCATGAACGATTATACCCATGCAGCAGGGAGAGTAGAGAGCTGTAGTGCTGGCTGGAACCGAGCACTCGGGGCTAGGGGTGAGGACAAGCATTTAACCTGGTTAGTTGTTTTGGGGTTTTTTTTTTAGTATTACTTTATACACCTGAATTTTAGCATATGCCTGAAACACGGGGACTGATACAGCATTTGATACTACTTCCAGACTGTTGAGGTGGTTTTTTTTTAATTGAGTAAAATATCTATTGACTTTTGCCTGTTTAATTACTTTTTACATTATAAAAATGATGAATACAACATAGATCTCCTTTCTAATGGACTTTGTCTTTGTTTGCATGTGTGAAACTTGCCCTCACAGGTTTGCTAAAGTTTGCTGACGATGTTGGCATGGGAGGCGCGAGCATTCGAACTATTTCACTTGGACAGGGCCAGGGCCCAATAGCAGCAAAAATGATTTATCAAGCTATTACTGATGGAACGTGGGTAGTGTTACAAAACTGCCATCTTGCAACCAGCTGGATGCCTGCTTTGGAAAAAATCTGCGAGGAAGTTATGGTGCCTGAGAATACCAATGACATGTTCAGGTAGGAGTTTTAATATTTTGCTCTTTTTAATGGAACAATTTCTTGTTTGCTGAAGACACTAGTAAAAAGAAATTAAACTTCTTTTGTGTGAACAACTAAGCATAACATTCACATCATTTATGTGCCATGATACAATAAAGATACCTAATTAGGATCTCATCTTTTCTACCTGTCCAGTATGATCTACTTTATGCCTGCATTTTAAAACAAATTTAGGTGTTACCATTGTAGTTAGGCAAGTAAGAAATCTTAGTTTTCTGCGGATCAGTATTGAGGATTTGTCAATAGTGATGATTTTTTGATAATGTGCTTTTTAAAATTCTTTTCAGGTTGTGGTTAACTAGTTATCCATCAGAAAGGTTTCCTGTTAGTATCCTCCAGAATGGCATCAAAATGACGAACGAGCCTCCAAAAGGAGTTAGAGCGAACCTTCTTCGGTCATACCTTAATGACCCCATCTCTGACCCTGTGTTCTTTAGCAGTTGCCAGAAGCCAGAAATGTGGCAAAAACTGCTGTTTGGGCTTTGCTTTTTTCATGCTATTGTGCAGGAAAGGAGAAGCTTTGGCCCACTGGGTAAGGTTTAAAATATTTTGCAGGTTACTTCAAAAAGATCAGTAGTTTTGAAATGCATTATTGGACCCTCTCTGTAAGTAGGCAGTATCACGGGTAGCAGTATCACAGGAGTGCAGTCTGTATTCCACAGAACATAATGAAGTTTAAAAGCTGTTATTTGCATGGATTTTTATTCAGGCAAAACTACTCTTGAAGATACTACAAGTATTACCCTGGGGGAGGACTAGAAAGTACCAGTTTTCCAACTAAATTTATTATAGAGTAGTTACATTAAATCATAGCTTACTAAAATATTAATTTATTACTGTAGTTCTTATTAACTATCAAATCCAGTTCCATTTTAAGTTTTCATAGTTAAAGATGTCTTCTTCAATTCTGCTGTTGTTATTTATGAGTACACTTTGTTTTATCAAAGTTAGTGCAGAAGTTTTCTTGGTGTGAAACAAATGTATGTAGCTGCAGCGTGTTGTTCATAACACAACAATGAAAAGATATGTATTAGTAAGATTTTTGCTTCAGCTTTTTTTATAATCTTGAAATATTTCTAAATATTCTACAAGGAATTTCTACATAAAATTTTGACTGAAAGCCACCGTCCTTGTTTTAATAGGCAGCTGTTTAAATAAACCCTGGACTACCAGTATGAAGATACTCATTTATTGCTTTGAAGTAAAAATACAATTTTTGTTTTAATAGGCAGCTGTTTAAATAAGCCCTGGACTACCAGTATGAAGATACAAAAATTGTATTTTTACTTTAAAGCAATAAATGAGTAAGTGAGAGATCATTTTCAAAAGCAACTTCTACTGCTTAATGGGACCAGCTCTCCAGGGGAAGAAGGATAGTTTTAGCAATAGCCCTGTTTTTTGGTTTGTGCTAGGGTTATAGAGAATCCTTCAGAAAACCTATCTGGAGTATGCTCCCGTGTGGTTTTTAATTGTACTGTTACTCATATACAAACAGCATTAATAGATGGAGAGATTGATTGGAAATTAAAATCAATCAATGAATTAAACCTCCTGTTTGCATCATCTCCAGCAAGCAACAGATCATCTGAAAGTACCAAGCAGGTCTCTGTTCTACTTCAGGTAAAATATAATTTTTCAGAAGTGGGCGATGCCAAAATGCCTGTGGTTATGTTTTAATTGTACAGAATGATGGTAATAGTGCCTTAGAACATAATATTGTTAGAGAGTCATATTCTCCCTTGTGCAATAGACAGCCTGGTAAACTCCGGGGATTCTTCGAGGTACTGTCTGGCAGCTGTTACCTTCAGCTCTGTAGTAGCAGCATAGTACCGATACCTTCACTTCCTGAGCATGGTTATAGGTACAGTGCACCACTGCCCTGTTTATCTCTGCTGAATCACACAGGTTGGAATATTCCATATGAGTTCAACGAATCTGATCTCAGAATCAGTATGCAACAGATCCAGATGTTTCTGAATGAATATGAAGAAGTCCCCTTTGGAGCTCTGACATACCTAACAGGTAGAGGCATTGCATCCTCTAACATGTGTTGACTTTGCTAGGCACTTTCAGCCAGTACAGGATGAACTGATGAGCTCTTGACAACCTGAGAGGATTCCACTGAGGTTTACTTTCTTGGCCTTCCCCATACAGACAAGCTGGATCCCAAACCCTCATACATCATTGCTGTCTTGGCTCATATATAGCTAGAGGAACTATTAATGGTCCAGCAAATCTTCTGGTCTTGGTTTCGTATATGTCAATGGCCTCTGTTTCACCTTAGCTCATCAGTATGATCCTGACCCAGTAAGCATTGGCACTTTACCACAGGATGTGGTAATACTCAGCAGCAGGAGGTGTTGACCTGTGGAAATAACCTGGTTGCTGTGCATATTCAGTTCTCTTTATCAGATAGCTGCTTCTTGGCATCTCCTTTTTCAACCTTATAAACATAATTTCTCATTTTTGCTAATGCTATGATTAACTTTATGAAAAAGAATTTCAGGATTAAAGTAAGAACTGTGAGCTTTTAGCTGTTTTCTGTACTTTGTCTTGGTGTAAACCTCCCCTCATTTCCTGCTCATTACTTAAATCTCTCAGACCCTTTCTACACAAGGGTATGGCATACCCCATGTTTTCTACTGTATACATACGTTATTGGGTTAAGTTTGCATGAAAAGAACAAGACAAGGATCAGCTATATAGCACTGTTTAGATTTTGACAGTTCTAAACATTCTTACTAATCATCATAGAATCACAGGATGATTTGGGTTGGAAGGGACCTTAAAGTCCATCTACTTCCAACCCCCCTGCCATGGGCAGTGACACCTTCCCCTAGACCAGGTTGCTCCAAGCCTCATCCAGCCTGGCCTTGGACATTTCCAGGGATGGGGCATCCCCAGCTTCTCTGGGCAACCTGTGCCACTGCCTCCCCACCCTCTGCGGGAAGAATTTCTTCCTGATATCTAATCTAAACCTCCCCACTTTCAATTTAAACCCGTTCCCCCTTGTCCTGTCACTACAGGCCCTTGTAAAAAGTCCCCCCCAGCTTCCTTGTACCCCCTTCAGGTACTGGAAAGTGCTATAAGGTCTCCCCGGAGCCTTCTCTTCTCCAGGCTGAACAAGCCCAAGCCTGACAGTTTCAAGCAAATGAACTGTCATGTAAAACATGAGATTATTTATCGTCACGTGAGTAGCAGTTTCTCAGACCAACTCACAGTGTTGCTTCAACCTTTCATCATCCAGGCACACAAATTTGGCCCATAGTTCCAAAGGTGTTACAGTGCCCAACTTCCATTGAATCAATTGAAGTATAGGCCTAAAAACTTTGGAAGAGCTGGAATGTCAGAACTTCAGCTTCCTGGAGCTATACATTATTGCAAAGCAATTTTTACTTGTTCATTAACTTCAAATTTTTCATTCTGGTTTTCTTTGTCCTTTCCCAGGGGAATGTAACTATGGAGGTAGAGTAACAGATGATAAAGACAGACGTCTTCTCCTGTCCCTTATTTCCATAGTCTATAGCAAAGATATAGAGCAGGAGAAATACATGCTTGCACCTGGAGATGACTACTATATACCACCACATGGACCGTACGAGGTGAGAGGATAACAGATGTAAATTCTGTCTGAGTTATTGGGAAAACCCTTATCTGCAATGTACTTCGCTGAATACAACATATAGAAAATAAAAAACATGAGAGCACAGAGCGATGCCAGAATTATTCTTATGCATGAATCTGGTACTTGATATGCAACATGCCACAATGGAGATGTAGTAATCGTGCAGTACTCTGATGTTCGGTGGTGCAAAGTGCCACCCTGTGCAGGTTTCCATGTACAGTTCTAAAAAGCCAATAGGAGGCTTCAGGAATTTACAGGGTACTTTACACAGTCTTGCAACCACTTTTTCCTTGACAGCAGTAATCAGGATAAGGAGGTGGAATGGCAGGTATATACTCAACTTTCATCCCCTTTTTCCCTTCTACCAGAGGCATAGAGATAACAAATGTGCTCAAACCCCGCCTATCTCCGTAGCTTGCAATTATAGGGGTGATACATATGGCATCCTACCCTCTTCTGTGACTTCTGCCAGTACTCACTGTAGATTTCTCATGAACATTCCTTTTTCTTGCTTGCTTTTGCTACTTACATGAGGGTGGTAAGAGCAACTCCTCGGTGGGTCTTTGAACCATTCAAAACTTTGTATTTATCTCTGTGGACTGAGTAAGCCAAATCCTAGATGCATTTACCCGGGAACTTACATGTTCGTAAATGGGAAGGTTCTGTCCAGGTTGGGTTTACTGATCATTTATGAATATATCATTGCATGATTTCTGGTATCTAAATGTTTCTTTTACAGTCTTACATCAAATACCTACAAAGTTTGCCGATTACCACACACCCTGAAGTGTTTGGACTTCATGAAAATGCAGACATCACCAAAGAGAACCAGGAGACTAGCCAGCTTTTCAGTGGAGTGCTCCTGACTTTGCCTAGAGAAGCAGGAGGAGGTGTCAAGTCCCCTCAGGTAACTGGTGAAGAAAGGTGAACTTGCCCTCTGGAAAGGTGCCCTTACCTGTCATACCCTAGGTCTTGGAGTAACCCAGCAGCTCTCGTCTGTGGCCTTGGGAGCAGATGTGAATGTCCCTGTAGAGAAGCACAGTAAAAAGTAAAACTTTTACTTTTTAAAGTAAAACTTTTAAAGATGGAAGATACCCTAATGACTTTGAATTCAAGTAAGTTAATACCACACAACTCCACCTGGTTGAGTAGAACATGCAGTTTGAATAGGAATGTTTTTCATATTTCATGTTTTAAAATAAGAGTGAAGTGCTTAACTTTGATCATGAATTGTAGCTAGAGCACAGCTAACAATCACAGCTGGTGAAGCACCTCAAATGACACCCGTCTCTAGGCAATTTTGAAGTATGACATTTAGTTCCAGTCTGCAGATTCCCATGGTGGAGGTTCATGCACTGGCCTGACTATCCAGCAGCGGGAATGACCATCCCTGCCATTTTCACTAGGGGACAGGTTCCGAAGTGCCAGGAGATGTTATAAAGTCATTTAACCATCGGGCAAGCAATATAAGCCCATTAGAGGCAAAAGTTGTCTTCCTGGTGGAGTTTGTGCTTCCAAGGCACTTCCAGCCTGTGTTACTACTCACAAATGGGTTTTGAGATAAGTGTTTTGCTTTCCCTTGGCTGGTTCCATCGTAAAAAAGGAACTGTGTGTGTGACTTGTGTGGCACCAAGAAAGGAAGCAGTTTGACAGAATGGAATTGCTTGGACACAGACCTCACTGTCATCTACCCCTCCACGGGACCTGGCTGTGAGAATGTTAGGAATTTCTCTCCTTCATCTTGTCCTGGCAGCTCAGGCTACTTAGGCCAAATCCCTGCCCCTTTGAGACATAGATAAATGACCATGCAAGCCCCTCAGATTTCACATCCTGTAGTTTATACACAAGTAGATTCTTGAGAAGTGGAATTGATGGAGCCTCAATTCCTGCACGGTTGTCCAGTGATTGCATTCTCGGATGTCCAGTATGCTGTAAGGAAAGCTGCTCTCATGGCTGAAGTGTTGACATGGTCTTCCCAACATTCTCCCCACACTGCTTACTTTGTTTCCCTTCACTGTGGGCGTAGTAGGATTGTGGTTGTCTGCCCTGTTGCCTGTTTCCTTTGAAGTTGCCTAAAAGCCTTTTGCAAATTAAACTGAAATTTCTAACAAATTTAAAATTATTGAGAAGGGAAAAGGAGCAAGCAGGGAGATGCAGAGATGGACAGAATGATGCACAAAGAGAGTAGGAGCATGTAAGCATTATTCCTTTAGGAAAATGGCCTAAAATACCTCTGTGGTTATACAGAAAAAAAGAAAAATGTATGGTGTTTTGTAGAATTTATTGAATAAAAATTAGGGAAAAAAAGGGAAATTCCTCATTCGCTGCAAACTTGTGATTGCAGGAAACTGTTGAAGATTTGGCTCAGGATATTTTATCGAAATTACCAAGTGCCTTTGATGTTACAGAGATTGTGAAGGTATACCCGGTACGTTATGAAGAATCCATGAATACAGTTCTTAGGCAAGAACTAACTCGGTTTAACAGGTATGGCTCTGTTTTGTGCAGCACTACTGGTACTGAAATACGCTTGTGTCCATCAGTGCTTGCCACTCACAAGCCTTCAACACTTACAAGCCTTTTACAATATGTTGTTCTTAACGTGATGGATTCTGCTTGGGATGAGCCTTTTAAAAAAACTTGAAAGCTGCATCTGAGGACCTGAATATAGACACCTATATTCTTGAAGTATGAATGTAAATCTGGTTTGAGTCTGTGGTGTTGAGGTAGGGCAGCCTACTTTCTTTTTTTTAAGCCGTGCCCAGGCCCCAGTATTCACAGCACACTATGTTAATCAGCGTTACAACCTTTAAAGCTCTTGTCACTTGATTTCCCTTGTCTAGAATGGGAATTTTCACTATCTTTCATTGCTCTGTGTGTGGTTTTACTTTGTTTGCCTTTCCAAAGCTAAATAGGAGTTTTGATAACTTCAGGTGAGATAAGGAATTTCTGACAGAACATTTACCAGCTTTGATCGGCCCTTCATTCAAGTTGGATGCAGAGGTCTTTGGCCAAATAGTAAGGAGTAAATAATCTGATGAAAATAACTTTTTTTTTTTCTCTTAAGGCTCACTGAAGTTATTCGGAGCAGCCTCGTTAATTTAGGCAAAGCCATTAAAGGCCAAGTGTTGATGTCATCTGAACTTGAAGATGTCTTCAACAGCATGCTGATAGGAAAAGTGCCATCGATGTGGGCTGCCAAATCCTATCCATCACTGAAGCCACTGGGAAGTTATGTGTCTGATCTTCTCAGTCGTTTGGTCTTTTTTCAGGTATGCTAAACTGAGACTGACAGGTCTAAGGACTCGGTAGTTGAAAGCTGAATAGGTAAGATGTGTATCAGTACCGTCTTCCCTCAGCAGTACCCTTGTTGCTCTGGACCGTGAACTTCTTGCACATACTCATGACCAAATATGTGCTGCATTAAGAGCATGAGCTCAGCAGGGCGAGTTGGGAGGGTAATCCTTTGGTGCTAAACAGGCACTGCATTTGGTAGTTTCCATTTTTCTATTTCTAGAAGATGCATTTTACTTTGCACATTGATGCCTTAATGGTTTCCCTGCTCAAAGGTTACTGAACCAGGTGTGAGAATGCTTTAGAAACAGTGCGTAACAGGTGCTATTAAATTGTGTATATGTGACTGTAAATCTCTCTCAAATTTAATAAAAATTGACACCACTCCCACACACTTTCTGAACAAGTTATTTTATTCTTTACTCGCCCTTACGTTATTTCCCTTGCGTTCTTAGTGCTCTCTTTAAATTACTTAAAATTTCAGCTGTACCTTTCACAGCTGAGGTCCTGAGATGTAGTGGAAACTCATCCAAGTCAGAAGAGCAGAAAGCCAGAAGGAAGTGTTTGAAAGATTTCTATAAGCAGCAGGGTATCCTGTTTGCGGGATCAGAGTACCATATCGGCTTCTTTTGACTCCAAATGTCTTAGAGTAGTGTCGGGACATTCTGCCCTTCCCTTGTTTTTCCTACCACCTTTGTGATAGCCAACAAAGATACTGGCCTCAGATCTCCTTGTCTGGCAACTTTGTACTGGAATAATTTCCTCCAGTAGGATCTGATGTGTTGGCTGTAGTGACTGCCATTACAGCAATCGGTGAAGATACTCTGTAAGAGAATTTGGCCATTTTTCATCTTAGGAGATTGGTCTTTACAAGACTGTAAAAGAGGATATATTGATAAAAATATCCAAATTCAATCATATTTCTTTTTTTTGCTGGCTAGTATCCAGACTTACCAAATACATGCTTATCCTGCTTTCTGAAATTTCTTTCACAGTAGCACTGAGTTCTGGTTGTTTCAGAATGAGTGATTATTTTTGTTATCATCATAAATAACTGACTTCTGTGAGGTTTTGTCTCTGAAAAATACAGAACCAACGGAGTATCCAGAGGGTCCCATCAAGGTTTAGATCTCGTTGTGCGTATCTGAAAAGACATCCCTTTTCTGGTGTATTGGCACAGCGAAGCCACAGAATGGGTTTTGGGTTTTTTCTTACATTTGTTTTTTCTCTCCATATTCAGGACTGGGTCACCAATGGGCTGCCCACAGTCTTTTGGCTCTCTGGATTCTTCTTCACTCAGTCCTTTTTGACCGGTGTTTTACAAAACTATGCCAGAAAATACACCATCCCAATTGACCACGTTGGATTTGAATTTGAGGTAAGAAAATGCAGCAGAGTTTTGTTTTTCTTGAACAGCTTGAAACATAGTCTGGGGCGGCAAGGAATTGAGTTTTCAAATGAAAATAATTTTTATGTAAATGAGGCATTTCTGACTAAAAATAAAACCAAGCAATGGTTTAATCATTCTAGGTGATGAAACAGGAGCACACAATGGAGAAAATGCCAGAAGATGGGGCTTATGTGAGAGGCTTATTTTTGGAAGGTGCTCGATGGGACAGAGAATCGTTGGTAATTGGAGAATCACTTCCAAGAATCCTTCATGATTCTTTACCTATAATTTGGCTGAAACCTGGAGAAAGTTCCCGATTTCTCCATATGAACATCTATTCATGCCCTGTGTACAAGACAAGTGCAAGAAGAGGTGTCTTATCCACTACTGGCCACTCAACCAACTATGTTCTCTCAATTGAACTCCCTTCGGCCAAGCCCCAGAAACACTGGATAAATCGAGGCGTGGCAGCACTGTGCCAGTTGGACGACTGAAAGTATGTGAGTCAAAACACTTGTGTTTTGTTATTAGAAGATACACTTCACTTCCTAATGGCTGCAATTATTTTTTTTATCAGAA